CACCATCGCGGATCATTGCCCGGTCTTTTCACCCAGATCCTTCCCATTTCCTTCCTCCCACCCACTCACCAAACTGTGCAACCTTGTGGTTTTGCCCCTACCCATCCTCACCCCACCACTACCACCCCTTCCCCTCTTGTGTTCCCATACATGTTTTACTAGTTATCCTTCTATTTTTACAATAATGGTCTTATGCAGTATTTGTCCTTAAAAGACTGAATTAGTTCACTCAGCATAATGCTCTCCAGTCTCTCCCAAGTTATATAATATTTTTTTTAATTCAGCATTTATTTATTTATTTTCTATAATATTTTTCATAATAGTCAAGGAGCTCTGGTATGCTATTGACAGCTGGACAAAGACTAAGGATGACAGAAGAAGAATTTATGCCTTTGAACGGTGGTGTTGGAGAATAGTACTGAATCTCCCATGGCCTGCCAAAAGAATAAACAGATATGTCTTGGAGAGGGTGCAGCCAGAGTGCTCCTTGGAGGCAAAGATAACAAAGCTTTGTCTCACCTACTTTGGGCATATCAGTAGGGGAGGCTATTGAAGGAGGACACATTGCTTGGAAAAGTGGAGGGTCAAGAAAAGAGAAGATGGAACCAGATGGATTAGCATAGTGACTACAGAAATAGACTCAAGTACATCAGAGATGTTGAGGATGGCACAGTAAAGGACAAGGTTCATGGGGTTGTTATGAGTCATACTCAACTTGATGTCACCTAACAACAGCAACAACAAGCACGAGAGGCAGGGTTTTATTGTTATCATTTCATTGAGTTGTTTTTGGTGTTGTTGCTAGTTACTTTGGTCCATCCTGCTTTCTGTGGCACCTCTGTAAAAAGGACATCTTTCAGTGTTTGCTGCAACACTGGTCTTATTTTTACAAACTCCCTTAGGTTCTGTTTTTCTGGGAATATCTTGATCTCTCCTTCATATTTGATGGACAGTTTTGCTGGATACAGTGTTCTTGGTTGACGGTTGTGTTCTTTAAGTATTCGATATATGCCATTCTACTGTCTTCTTGCTCATGTGGTTTCTGTTGAGAAATCGGCACTTCATCTTATCTGCTCTCCCTTTTTAGGTTACTCTTTGTTTCTCCCTAGTTGCTTTCAGAATTCTCTCCTTATCTTTGGTTCTGGCAAATTTAACTATGATATACCTATGTGGTTTTTCTTTTGGGGGTCTATTCTATATGGTGTTCACTTAGCTTCTTGAATATATATTCTCTCATTCTTTATTATGACTGAGAAGTTTTCCTCTAGTAATTCTTCCACAACTTTTTTGGTGCCTTTACTTGCTTCTTCCTGTTCTGGGACTCCAATGATGCGCTTCTTTTTCCTTCTTTTCTGATTCTGCTTTTTGCTCTAGCAGATCAATGGTGACAATTCTATCTTTTATTTCACTGGTTCTGTGTTCCATCTCTTCAACTCTGTTCATGTCTCCCTCCATCATGTTGACAGTATCTGAAACATTGGACCTCATATTTCTGATCATGGTTTCTTGTTTTTCCAGAGCCTCTAATTCCTCATTTGTTTTATCTGCATTGTTCTGGAATTTTTTTTTTATTTTTTTTTAAGCTCCTTCTGGTTTTTGCTTGCAGTGTCCTGTAATTCTTCAAGTTTGTTTTTCACCCATTGAATATATTCAATCATTGTTCTTTTAAATTCTGTGTCAGAAAATTCCATCAGATTTTCTGGTTTCAGAAAATCCATTGATACTGTGTCACTTTTGGGGGTGACATCTTGCTTTGCACTTGTGTAATGTGTGAGACAGCCTGCTTCTTTCATGACATTACGGTGGTAGAGTTTTTCATACCTGAGGTTCTAGATCTGAAGTCATTGCTCTAGAAAACAATGGGACAGCTGCCCCATCTGTGTTTCTCTCTGAACTTCCGACTCAAGGGAAGGTTCAGCTCAGGTGTGAGCAGCCTCTTCTAGCTAAGGCAGATCAAGGTGCCCTGGATTTAAGGCAAGTCAGATGACTGGACATGTAGGCACGGGTCTGGAGCCGAATTGGGGGGGGGTAGGGCGGGCATGTGTGGGGACCTCACTCAGATTTCAGCTGTCCAGGTGTGCTCATGTGTGGGGTCCTTACTCAAATTCTAGCATGTCCATCTCTCACCCAATGGCCCTGACCCATTGGCTCTCGCCCCAGCAGGGCTCTAGTCTAGGTCCAGCGGGACTTAAGAAAATGCAGTCAAATTCCCGCTGACCTGCTTGCTCCTGGCGGGTCTGTGGGGCTTAAGCCAGTAGTGTCTAATGTGCAGAAGTTTATTTTGATCAAGTCTTGCAATTTTGATGGTTTATAGTTTCTGTGTTGTGCCTAAGGAAATCTTTATTATGCCCACTATTTCTTTTCTAGAGAATTCTGGTAACCTAGTGGTAAGGAGCTGCACTGCCAACCCAAAAGCAGGCAGTTCAAATCCACCAGCTACTCTGTGAGAGAAAGATGGGTAATCTCGTTCTGTGCAGTTTACAGCCTCTGAAAACCTGCTAAAAGATCAGCTGTGAGCCAGTTCCAACTCAACCATACATAACAACATTCATTTTTTATTCTCAGACCCTTGCTAAACTCTGATTAAGTCTAGAAATGTATCTAATTTACACAAACACACACTTAAACAGACTATAACCTACAAATAATGACTAGGGGGGCCAGTGGGGTTTTTTTTTCAATCCTTCACATTCCTTATGCCATTTTCATTTTCTTGCCTTGTTGCACTAGCCCGCATCCCTAGCTTAGCACAGACTAGAATTGGCAGTGACAGACATTCTTTCATTGTTCCTTACTTATTTGAAAGCATTTTCCTGTTATGTTTAATGTTTGTAGAGTTGTTTTTATTGTGCGGATTTTTTTTGTCAACTCTGATGGCCTAGTGGATAGGGAACTGCGCTGCTGACTCCAAAACACACTGTTCACAGGAGAAGGATGGGCAATCTCCTCCTGTGTGATTTACCACCTCTGAAAACTCGCTGGTCAGCAATGGGTTGGTTCTTAATCGATGGCTGTGAGTTGAGGTTAAGTTGTCTTATTAAGGAGGTTGCTGATTGATAAAAGCTATCAGGAATAGCTAATTTTAGGAAACACTTGATATATATTAGTTGCTGCTGTTGTTGTGAATCATCGAGTAAGAACAGACCCATAGCTGACCCTCCAGTGGGTTTTCAGAAGCTGCCACATGCCTTTGGGATTGTAGTACAGTTTCTTACCACTAGGCCATTAGTTGCTAGATTTATTTTTTTTTAAGTGTATAGGTGACAATGTTGTGTCCTTTTAAGTCAGAACTGACCTATAGCTGACCTGGCCAGCTTCAGAGGCAGTTAATCACACAGGAGGAGATTGTCCATCTTTCTCCCGCTGAACAGATGGTGAATTCAAACTGAATGCCTTCTGGATTGCAGCACAGCTTCTTACCACTAACTCCCCAGAGCTGGTTTCCTTTGATCTCTTAATGTGGTGACTCTCAAGGTCAGCCTTGTTTGGTTCCCATAGATTCCGTTTTAACACTGCAGGTTTAACATGCAAGTTTGGGCATGTGTGTCTGGGCACATGAATGGGATGGGTCGATTTTTTTCCCATGTGCCTTTCTCACCAGCTTATAGCACCAAAACCTGCCAGCCTTGTGAAAGGTCAGGAGCATTCCTCTTTCTTCTCTTTTTCACATGAACAATTTGCCTCAGACTGAGATTTGCACCCCCTTGCATTTTGGTCAAGAAGTTTCTTATTGGGAAGATTTGTGGCTGCCATTCCATTTTCTTTGAGCCTTTATTGTGGATTGAATTGAGTCTCCCAAAAACACGTTGAAGTTCTGTCTTGTGAAGAAGACCTTGTTTGGAAATAGCCTTTTCAGATGTTATTATTTAGGTTACCATGAGGTGACAGAGCTTGTCCTTGTAAAAGAGGAAAGACGAAGCAGCCAGCCATGTGGCAGTGAAGAAGGCCCCAAGCTCCAGTTGTCTCCAGGACCTGGATGAGCCTCCCTCAGAATCATGGGTGGAATCGCCTGGTGGAGGCTGTGGCGCTTCGGCAGCCACACGCAAACCCCACTGGTCCTTCTCCAGCCCATCTTGATAGAGTTTTCTAAGAACATCGTCCATTTCCTTAGCGTTGGCCTGGTTTCCTGTCTGCAGTTTAGTCCCCTCTTCATTCCTAATGATGTTTGTTTATGCCTTTCAGAAAGCTAGTTTTTCCACAGGATGATCTTTTTATGAGACGTTTCTAAACATCACTTTTTTGGCTTTATTGAACTTTTTTGATTGCTTTCCATTTTGTTCATTTTTGGGTTTTATTCTGCAATCTTCTTTGTCATTTTCTTTTTTTGCTTTAAAATCCTATCTCTTTTCCCTGACTTTTTAAGTTGCCTGCATTGCTCATTAGTTTTAAGCAATTCTCTTTTCTGACATCAGCACTTGGGCTCATTTCTTGGCCACCATTAGAAAGTGTCCCTCCAGCCTCATCCCTCCACCCCCATGTGTTTCTCTGTCCAAGTTCCTTCTTATCAGGTACAGATTAGGACTCACCCTACTGCTCCAGTGTAATCCACAGCCTAACTGATTACATCTGAAAAGACTTTCCAAACAAGGTCAGGTTCCTGGGCTTCTGGGTAGAAATGGCTGGGGAGGAGACTTGCAGCCCACAGCTCCGGAGTTTTCATCCTCATCCTAACAGGATTTGGGTTTGGTTTTGCTGCTTTAATCCATGAGCTCCTTAGAAGTAGATTTTATTGGATTATTTTGTTTGAGCTCTTTTGAGTTTTGTTTTCACTTAACTACATTTGTGGTCCCTGAGGGGCTCCATTCATTCCAGCTGGGTGAGGCACATGCTCAACAACTTGCATAAATATTTCCCCCACCAGCCAGGCCTTGAGTCATCCTGCACATGGGACAAGAAGGAATGTAAGGAGTGGCTTCTGGGAGCGGGGCATCCAGATCCAAGACGAAGGGGACTTGGGTGTCCCCATTTCTCTCTGACCAAGCCTGTTCCTTTTGCCCCAGGGTGACTTGGCCAAGAAGAAGATCTACCCCACCATCTGGTAAGCTGGTTCACCCCGCCCTGCTGCCCTGGGGATGGGACTGCCCACACCGCACTCACATGGCTGCCCTCTGTCCTTAGGTGGCTGTTCCGAGATGGCCTTCTGCCTGAAGACACCTTTATCGTGGGCTATGCCCGTTCTCGCCTCACAGTAGCCGACATCCGCAAACAGAGCGAGCCCTTTTTCAAAGTGAGTGGTGTCGGCCCTTGCCCTGTCACAGCCAGCAGGGCCAGGCTCCCACTGGGGACCCGTCCTCTAGGAAGAGGTGACATCCTCCCACTAATCTCTGAGGTCACGGCATAGCCACATTGGAACCACCCTGGCCAAGCACGCCTGCCTGCACCTCCATGGCCGGCCTTCTCCAGCTCCACCATTCTTCTGGCCCCTGTTCCAGCCCCTCCACCAGGAGCCAGCACAGGGACCTCTCAGGCTCATCTTTTCAGCTGTGGACTGAGGAGCCTGACCCAGGACAGACTCAGAACCTGGATCTGTCTGTCTCCCCAGGCCACCCCAGAGGAGAAGGCGAAGCTGGAGGAGTTCTTTGTACGCAATTCCTATGTGGCCGGCCAGTACGATGAGCCCGCTTCCTATGAGCGCCTCAACAACCACATAAACGCCCTCCACCAGGGTGCCCAGGCCAACCGCCTCTTCTACCTGGCCCTGCCACCCACGGTCTATGAGGCTGTCACCAAGAACATCAGCGAGTCCTGCATGAGCCAGATGTAAGCCTGTCCATGCCCTGCCCTCCTGCCCCAGCACACAGCACCTTTACCTGGTGAATCGGGGGTCGTAGACATGATGTCTTTCTGAAAAGGGTGGCTCTGCACCGCTACAGCTGCCACCATCAATGGCACTAGAAGCCATTTAATGCCTCCCAGGTGGCGGTTACTGCATGCAGGTCTTGTCCAGGCTGCTTGAGCCATGCCCAGGCCCTCTTCAGCCCCATTGGTCCTTGGGAACGGAATGCCATGTTAGCTCCTTCCATCTTTGTGTTGGCCATCTGCCTGTCTTGACTCCAATTTTCCTTGGTCTTCCTCTGGCCAAGAGGCAGCAAAAAAAAATGGGTTCCCCTTTGGGACAGGCATGTTGAGCTTTGTGTCAAAAAGAGTTGGGTTGAAGGGTACTCGGCGCAAAAGGGGAGGGGTCAAGGCTGAACCCTGCTGCATGGCAGAGGCTGGAACCGCATCATCGTGGAGAAGCCCTTTGGGAAAGACCTGCAGAGCTCCGACCGCCTGTCCAACCACATTGCCTCCTTGTTCCGTGAGGACCAAATCTACCGCATCGACCACTATCTGGGCAAGGAGATGGTCCAGAACCTCATGGTGCTGAGGTGGGTGCCAGCCACTCGGGCCCCTCCATCCCACTCAGCCGCTGTCAGACCCTCACCAGTGTCCACCTGCCCCCCACAGGTTTGCCAACAGGATCTTTGGCCCCATCTGGAATCGGGACAATATCGCCTGTGTCATCCTCACTTTCAAGGAGCCCTTTGGCACCGAGGGCCGTGGGGGCTACTTTGATGAGTTTGGAATCATTCGGTGAGCACCTGTGCTCCGTTGTCCTTCTTGCCTGAAGGGACGTGGAAGACCGCTGGGGTCCTGGCCCCTGCCAAGCAGTACAGGGCCTGATGGGAGCTCTACTCTCTCTTCCCTCCAGGGACGTGATGCAGAACCATCTCCTACAGATGCTGTGTCTGGTGGCCATGGAGAAGCCTGCGTCCACCGACTCGGATGATGTCCGTGATGAGAAGGTGGGGGCACAGCCTGGGTCATGATGGTCAAGTGTGATGGCGATAGCTGTCCAACGTGGACAGCTCAGCAACCAGTCACTCCCAGCAGCCTCGTTAATCAGGGCCCTTCCCCTGCCACTCCCAGGTCAAGGTCTTGAAGTGCATCTCTGAGGTGAAGGCTGATGATGTTGTCCTGGGCCAGTACGTAGGAAACCCGAAAGGGGAGGGCGAAGCGACCAAAGGGTATCTGGACGACCCCACAGTCCCCCGAGGTTCCACTACAGCCACCTTCGCTGCAGTCGTCCTCTATGTGGAAAACGAGCGATGGGATGGTAGGTGATACCTCTGAGCTCTGCTGTGTGCAGTCAGTGGGGCGGCAGCCTGAAACAAGGGGGCTGGGGGAGGGAGAGGCCTCGGCTGGCCTCTCCCACAGCTGCCACGCTCCCGTGCTCAAGACACATGTGTCAGCCTTGCATATACTTGCTTCCTCTTCTGGACTCATGACACTCCTGTGCTCACCCTCTCTCACACGGTCACAGCGTTGGGGGTGCAGGGAGTGGAGGAAGGCCTGTGCGGCCAGCAGCGGGACCTAAGCCACTGCTCCTGCCCCAGGTGTGCCCTTCATCCTGCGCTGTGGCAAGGCCCTGAACGAGCGCAAGGCTGAGGTGCGGCTGCAGTTCCGCGACGTGGCTGGGGACATCTTCCACCAGCAATGCAAGCGCAACGAGCTGGTCATCCGTGTGCAGCCCAACGAGGCCGTGTATACCAAGATGATGACCAAGAAGCCTGGGATGTTCTTCAACCCTGAGGAGTCGGAGCTAGACCTGACCTACGGCAACAGATACAAGGTGCCCTCCCCCATGGCCTTCAGGAGGAGGGGCTGCCGGCAGGAAGGCCAGCAGGAAGGGGGCCTCCCTGAGACCCCTTTGTCACCCTCATCCTACAGAATGTAAAGCTTCCTGATGCCTATGAGCGCCTCATCCTCGATGTTTTCTGTGGGAGCCAGATGCACTTCGTGCGCAGGTGAGAGGTGCTGAACCCCCCCCCCAGGGTGTCCCCAAGCCTGGACTGAACTCCTTCTATAACGTATCCCCCAAAACCTCTCTGGATCTCCACAGTGATGAGCTCCGGGAGGCCTGGCGCATCTTCACCCCACTTTTACACAGGATCGAGCGGGAACAACCTCAGCCCATTCCCTACATCTACGGCAGGTAGGAGCTGAGCCAGGCTGGGTGGTGGGCAGGCCAGGGGGTCTCCCTCCCTTCTCACCTGCTGTCACTCTCCAGCCGAGGCCCTACAGAAGCAGATGACCTAATGAAGAGAGTGGGCTTCCAGTACGAAGGCACCTACAAGTGGGTGAATCCCCACAAGCTCTGAGCACCTGTTCCTCTGGCCTGTCTAAGCTTTGCCCCTACCACCCCCACCTCAGTCAGTCTTTGGGACCACAGGCCTCACCCTACATTCCCTGGTGCCCAGACCCAGGCCAGCCTGCTGACTCAGCCCTGAGCCCTAGTTACATTCCAGAACCCCTGCGACCAGGGCCAGCAGCACTGCACATTCCGGGTCCCCAGCCCCCAGGGTCCTTCACCACACCAGCTCTCTCCAGCTCCCCTACTTGACACTCTGGGGAAGCAGAGGTGGCTGCTGGGCCTCTCCTGAAATCCTTGCCATTAAAGCTCTCAGCCTCCCTGCCATGGCCTGTGCTGACCCATTTCTCAACCCCAAGTACCCCAATCTCCTGAGTCCCTATCGTTGTGGGGAAGCAGCTCCAAAGCAGGGCCACTTCTCTCCACATGTCGTCCCAGCTGCCCTGACACCACTGCCCCCCACTGGTGCCCGTGGAATTGAGAAAACAGTGACACTCGGGGACCAGGGATAGCCTGAGATGGCCCCATGCTGAGGTTGGGAGCACGTGGGCAAGGCAGGACTTGAGGTGCCTGTGACCCATCCAGTGGCAGAAACCCTGTTCTTGGGCCCCAGAGCTGCAGAGGGCAGCACCACACACCCTCACATACAGGGTGGCCAGGCCATGCTCCTTCAGGAGCTTCTAGGGGAGTAGAGGCAAGGAAAATTCTGGCTTCTCATGGTTCCACCTGTCCCCGTCCTCACAGGGCCTCCTTTCGGCAGCTTGCCAGTCACTGACTCAGGCCCCATTCTACTCCAGGAGGCCACCATCCTAGCTCATCTCGTTCTCAAGTGCCACGTTTGCCAGTCTGGTCCGATCTAATTGCAGCCTGAGCCTCAGCACTGAGGTTCTAGGAGGGAAACAAAAGGTTGCAGATGGTGGGCTGTGTTCCGAGCAGCACACAAGGGAAAGGCGTGTCCCGGAGACTTGGAAGGACTAGGAGGACAGTGTCTCCAGCCATGTGCGTGGCGCCAGGGCTGGGGTCTGAGGACTGGCAAGCCCAGCAGCAAGTCGAGCACACCCCTGGGCCCAAGCTGGAGGAGACTCCAGTCTCAGTGGGCAAGGCGGGCTTCCTGTGCTTAGAGCCAGGCAGAGAGCTAGCCACTTATGTCACATCCCGAGCACTGCGTCTAGATGACACAGCTGAGACCAGACTGACAAGAGAAAGGACAGGAGTGAAGACCTGATGGCGGCTGATGGGACGGAGTCTAAAGACGTTTCCATGCCTTCCCCTGTTGTCCACCAGAGGGCACCATCTTCCTGTCCTTTCCTCAGGCAGGCCACTAGGCCTCAAACCCCCAGCCACAGCAGATCCCCCCAAGTCCCCTGTGCTGCCTCTTCCCACCCGTAGAACAGACAGCCCCCATGGCTCAAGGGGCCCCTAAGGACCAGGACTAGCTTGTGTCTCTGAAAGCAGGTGCTAGGAAGGTTTCTGGGCAATGTAACGCATAGTGAAGAGAGTCTCGTGGGCCCATGGGACTGGTGAGGTGTTACCACAGGTCTACACGGGGCCTCACAGATCTACATGGCGCAGAGGTGTGAGGGCCCAGAGAGTGGCAGCTCCACGTGCCCTCCATCAGGCAGAAGATGGCTTCTTTCCAGAACTGGCCCAGGGCCCAGGTGACAGACTCGACCCCGACATGCTCTGGCTAGTTCTCTGTGGCAGTAGCATCAAGGCCTTGGCACGAAACAGCTCCAAGCCCCACTGAAGGGACAAGGGTGTGGGGTTTCGCCTACCATAGAACCTTCTAGAGATAAGAATCAGACACACGCACAAAAAAGGAATCTGCACCCCTCATCTCAGCCCTGGATGTGCTTCCACAAAGTTCTCCATGGCCTCCACCACCTCTGGCTGGGGCCGCTAGCTCCCTAAAGGCTCTGGGCCTCCACATAAGCACACCCCCACATCCGTAAGCCCTGGGTATGGAAGAGAAGAACCATCATTTCCTTGGTTCGTCTCATCTCATCCTTAAAAAGGGGGAGAAACCCACTACTGTCGAGTCAGTTCTCATTTAAATCACTACAGGAATACCCGCATTCCTCCTCCTGGTCAGCTGGTGGGCATGAACCACCAACTTTTGAGTCAGGAGTCTAATGGGTTAACACGTTCCTCCGCCCCTATGGGCTTGCCTGCTCACTCACTCAGTACATACACATCGTGGGCAAGCTCCGGGAGAAGGCGTCGGGGTGATGGGTGCCCTCAGCATGGCCATCCCCACTTCACCTCCATACTGGGAACCTGTGCCATACCCCATGTCTGTGGCCCACCCCCTGGGCCTGCTCCCCACCTCTGCTTGTCCACCTGCACTAGCTCACGGTGTTTTAAAACTAGAACTATTCGCCAGGAGCCTTCCGAGCAGCGAGCAGCTCTGCGCATGCGCTCTCAGCTCCGCTCTCAAGTCGCCTGCGTGCAGCCAATCAGCGTATAATAAAAATAAACTAAAACTAGAAGAACTGTGTATGACGCATTAGCACAGATAAGGGAACAACTGCCCGGAAGGAATATGGGATTATGCATTGCATGTGAGAATAATCTGGAACAAAGGGTGCATTGCGGAGTGGGCTGGGGAGGGAGAAAATGTGCAGCAGTAAATAAAAGGACAAACTGAGCAGAAAAGTGCCCACAGTGAACATTATACCATACATAAAAGTAGTTCCGGTAGATCTTGGCCCTAAATACAAAACTGGGAAACAAACTTTTTCAGAAGGAGGCCCAGGTGTCCAAAACAGCACACAGAAAGAAACTTTTAATATAAGAATTAGAAAGTGCAAAAAAAAAAAATTAGAAAGTGCAACAGTGAATGAATGGAAATTCAAAACTCTCTGTAAATGTTCATTAAAATTAATAAAATTTAAAAATTTAAGAATTAGAAGATCACTAAAGTTCATCAAAATGCAAAAAAAATTCAGAAAAATAGGTAAGTTATAGACAAGAAAAAAACCATGTTAAAACTTACCTTAAAAGATTCAGATATTCAGGAATATGAAAACAAAACCATAGGAAGACAAGTAACCTAATTAAAAGTGAGCGAAGGATTGAAACAGACACCTTGACAAGCTATATGAATGAGCACTGTTGTTACATGCTGTCAAGTCGCCTGCTACTCATAGTGACCCTGCCCCCTCCTGAGCCAATCTCATCGTCTGCGACAGACCTAATCCCTTTTCTCCAGTCACTGAGTCAGTACAACTCATCCTGGGTCTTCCTTTCCTGCACTGCCCCTCCACCCTTCCAAGCATGATATCTATCCTTCTCCAAGGACTGGTCCCTCCTGGCCACATGCCCGAAGTCTGAGACAGCCTCAAAATCCTTGCCTCCAAGGAGTAGCCTGGTTTCACCCTCTCTAGGTCAGACCTGTTCTCCACGGTATGTTCAACACTATTCTTCAGCACCACAACTCAAAGGCATCAATAATTCTATCTTCCTTAGTCATTGCCCAGCTCTCGGATGCATAGCAAGTAACTGCAAAGACCATGGCCTAGATCAGGAGCACCTTAGTCTCCAGACTGACATCACCGCTCTTCGGCACTCTAGAGAGATCCCTAACAACAGACTTACCCAATGCAATCCATCTTTTGACTTCCTGACTGCTGGTTCCGCTAAGCAGATGAAAAAATGGACATCATAAGTCTTTGGGAAACAAATCAAACCCAAAATTAGATGCCACTTTATACACATGAGAGAGCAAAACCGAGGGGAAGGGCAGTGAGCCCTGGTGGGACAGTGGCTAAAACTTTTACCTCCTACCCAATGGGTCAGTTCCAAACTAAAAAGACAAGCATCAATAGACGGTGAGGTGGTGGTAGCATGAAATTATGTAACCACTTTGAGGCTGTTCTTTGGAGAAGGGCATCATGCTGGGAAAGGTGGTGGGACAGCGAAGGAGAGGAAGGCCCTCAGCCAGGTGGATTGACGCAGTGACTGCAGCCATGAGCTCGAGCGTGTCAGCGATGATGAGGGCACAGGATAGGGCGGTGCACACCTGCCGTTCAGAGGGCGGCTAGGGCGCGTGCTTTACGCATCCAATCGTATTTTTAAATTCTGGCAGGTTTTTCTAGAACTCGACTTTATGACCTATCATGCTAAATGAAAGCATATATTTATAAAAAGACACGTACAAGAATGCTCATGGCAGCTTTATTCATAAGTCAGTACTTGAAGACTGTCCATTGATAGGAGAAAAGACAAACTGATCTTCTCATTCAATTGTTGCTGTTGCTGTTGCTGTTGTTGTTGCATACTGTCGAGTCAGAACTGACTCCTAGCTGACCCTCTGGTGGGTTTTTCAGAGGCAGTTAAATCCCACTGGAGGAGATTGCTCATCCTTCTCCCGTGAAGCAGCTGGTGGACACGAACTGCGTGCCTTTGGGACTGCAGCACAGCTTCTTACCATTAGGCCACCGGAGCTCCCTTTTCCTTCAATATTAGCAGAACAAGTCAGTTCTGAATTGTGATCCCAGGTGCTCTCATTTTTTTAAAGTATTTTCTTGTGGTGTGTGTCATTTCACCCCTTTGCACAGCAGTCAGTGATGGTGGCTCTGTTCCTTGCATCATGCAAGCTCCACAGCACCTGTTGACAAACGTCTCCATCATCTTATCAGCAATCCCGCTACTTCTCCTACCAGATGCTCTTGGCATATCTCTGCTTGTTCCGGATATTCCATGGGGGGGGTCCTACGATGTGTGTCCTCTGTGACTGACTGCTTTCACGCTGTATCATGTTCTCAAGGCCCTCTGTGTCATGATTTGAATCAGGTCTTCAGTTTTCCTTGTGGCTGAATAAAATTCAAATTCGTCTTTCTACTTAAGGGGGTTATGGGGATGCAATTCCAGAGGAATTGCACTGCCGATTCAAAGGCTGCACATCTCTGTCAGTTCTAACCCGCCAGCTGCTTCATGGAAAACACACGGCCAGTCTCTCCCCGCCTGATTTACAGCCTCAGAAAACCCACTGGAGGATTGTGCCAGGTC